GGCTATGATGAGTATGGAGACAAATACCGGATTGTCTTTCATGGATATTACCCTCATACTAAAGATTAATGAGTTAGAAGACATTTGCCTTGGACAATAAGTTGGTGACTTGTGAAGCATTAAGACGCGACTACTGTGTAGGAGCAAAGGGCATGCACAAGTTCCTGGAATGAGTTGACTCTTGTCAAGGTGGTGAGCTCGGTAATAACATTATAATACTCATAGTATGGAGACATATATGGATTATCCTTTAATGGTTACCCTTATGGTTAAAGGTGTAGAGCTACCTGGACTCTTGGACTAAGAGCAAGAGACTCGTGGAGAAGTTAAACATGGTTCCTAAGGTGGAACAAAAGCTCGTGGAGAAGTTAAACATGGTTCCTAAAGTGGAACAAAAGGCAGACACAACTCTGGGATGAGTAGACTCTTGAAAAAGTGGTGAGTTCGTGATCATATTGAGATACTTAGATAATGACTGTCACACTTGGAAAGAGAAATTTCTGTTTGAGGGGGTGTTGTAAGCCTTGGTGTGAGGCTTGAAAAACCATTTCAGACTGAGCATGGTTGATATGCTCGAAGGGGAATGTTGTTCTAGAGACAAGCGTTAACACTCTTTAGATGTGATGTGGGAGACCATTTGGTTAAAGTGATCCTTTGGTGTGGGCAAGGGTGTGCTTTGGTAACTCTGGTGATTGAAAGGTTTGATAAGTGTCTATAAACTTGGTCAAAGATGCTCTTGGAATGGTAAGCTTGGAAAAGCTGCAGAATGCAAGCTTGTGCTGATGAAGCAAGATGACTCTGGTGATTGAAAGGTTTGATAAGTGTTTATAAACTTGGTCAAAGATGCTCTCGGAATGGTAACAATTGCCTACATAAATGACAAAGGGGGTGATTGTTGGGAATTGTCATTATTGTGGCAAATACATATCTGCTTGAAGAAGTTAGCTTCTATTGTCAAAGAGGGTTGGTGCAGCAACCAAAAGTCATAAAATAGGCAAAGGTTAGGTGACCACTATTAATAAAGATGAGTTGGAGTAACACCATTCTTGCTTATAAATAGGCACCAAGAGAACCAAGAACAAAATGAGAGTGTAAGAGAGCAACATGTGAGAAGAAGAGAGAAGAAGGGGCTGTCAAGGGCAACAGCCCTACTACAATGTGCAGTAATGTGTATGAGCTAGGAGTTGAGTTTGAGTGGATGTAATCCTTCTCCTCCATGTATTTGTTTTGCATCCTTTTTCTATCTCTAATAATACAGACCTCTTTCATGGATGTAGGCGGTTTGTCGAACCACGTTAAATATTGTGTTAGTGTGCTTAGCCTCCGATGAGTAATTATCAATACATCACTGGTCTAGATTTCCCAACACTGTGCAATGACCGGTAATTAACTGTGATTTGTGTAACCATCCTATAATGGTTGATCAGAATTTTTCAAAAGATTTAAAAAAACCTAATCGTATCTACATTAGATTCTTTATCTACAATTGGACATTGACCGATATGACCCTGATTCATTATCATTACATCCATAACCGTAGTCCTATAAGGATTACTATTGTCATCTACAACTCCATGCATATTGCTAGCACTAGAAGTTTACTCAACCATCCTTTTCAACATAGTCTCATGAGGAACAAATGGTTCTCTGTGTGCATACTAACATAGTTATTCCTCTATGAACTTTTTTTTTGTAGAAAATGCATCGTTACAACATCTGTATTTAAAAGCTTTTTATTTTTACAAATCTTACATGGACACCTAATACTGTATTCATTAATATTTCTCGAATTAGATATTATGTAATTAATAAAACCCTAAACCCCATTACAATAATCCATCTTCTGTAATTATTGGGGTGAATCTTGATATAACGATTATCCATCACTTCTATTGAACCTATATCAAATAATGATGACAACATATATTAATTAGCTATATAAACTAAATAATCTTGCAAAAATATTGGTTTAGCTCAAAATTATTCAACCCATTTAATACTTCTCTTAATTCATTATTAATTATCTACGTAGATACAAATTTGTACACATTTATGAAAATTACTTCTGGGAAATGAAATTGACAAAATATAAAACGAACCCATTAAACAAGTCATTATTTATTTCATCACAGAATACCTAAATCGATAATTTGATATAAGTTTCAATAATTTACAAATAAATATAATTTTACAAAATCTAAAACAAACCATAACATATATAAATCATAAATCTATACAACAAGTTTGCTTGAGAAAAAATAATAATAAAACAAGTAATTAAACACCCAAACAAAATACATATGCTATAAAAATATGCAAAAAAAATAAAATTAACATTTTAAAATTTTGTTCGAATTAAAAAAAAAGGTAAATTTGCTTACTTAAGGTGAAGAATCCTTAATAAAATTTCAATCCGAACACAAATGCTGACAAATAGAGTGTTGTTGTGACTGGAAAAGTTACAGGAAGTTGACTTGTGTTGAGATCAAGTAAGGGAGTGGGTGAAACTGTTTTATTGCAGATAAATTTTAAGGAAGAAGTTGAAATAGGAGAGGGGAAGAGGAGGGTTGAGCGCCAAGTTAAATATTAAATATTACCGATAGATTTATCAATGGAATTATTTTAATGGTGACTCTATTTGGCATTCTATCGGTATAAGTGTCACGTTACTGTATAGTTTAACTATTTGAATCCCACTATAATTTCATCAGTAATTATATTTATAAAAACTTATACGTCATTATATTATTTGGTTTTTTTTCTTTTATTTCTATTGCGATTCTCTCAATATATACTAAAAATATATTTTCATCAATATTTATCAATAAAATTAACAATAAAAAATTTAATCAGTAAATATCCTTATAAAATACCAACCAAAAAAATATCATCACGTTTCTATTTGTATTCTTCAATTTTATAATAGTGCATTCAATAACTCTTGTAGTTATCGATATAACTTTGCTTCAGCCAGAAACACTAGGCACTTGTACTTACATAATTAGCAGAGCAGGAATTTTACGTTTTTGTTTCTATACGGGGCTCCACTATATCGTAACTATCTAGCTACCTATCTTTCTAGAAACTTTTCCGTGATATCTTCTAGGTTTTGTCAGAGGATAAACATAGTCGTCAAGGATTTTTAACTTGCAATTTTCGGAGTTCAAACTTGGCTGTCTGCAAGTTATCACTAAACACATGGATGGCTGATGTTGTGCCAAGAAAATTAGGTACTTCGAGAGTTTGGGTTGAATTCAAAGAATTAGAGGTATACTTAACACACAATTAGAGATGGCCATAAGGAGAAGACGTTGCTTTCAAATCATGCTTTACTTAGTTTGATCTTCGGGTTCTTTAACAATATCTTGAACTCACTCTGTAAATGCATCTTTCATACCTTTATACTAATGAAATAATTTCTGCTAACTATCATTGCCTATATATAGGCATTTACCACATAAAAAATTAAGTCTAACCACTTAATTTATGCCCTAACGTTCTAAAAATGCTAGTTATAGTCATCACAAAAGCCAGATGTAGCTTAGGTGACTCATCTCAGTCGACTGTTTAGGGCATATTTAAATACCCCATTACCTTATTTGGCATCCTAGAACCTTCATCAGCTATTAAAATACAAATCATTTACATCAAACAATTTCTAAAGCATGCATTTAAGGATAGTTTATGTCAACAGATGGTGTAATGGCATTGGAGCACAAGCTGTTTTCGAGGAAACAACAGCAACCCACTAACTTTCTTTTATCTCTAAATAAAGATTATGCTGTCTATAATTTCATTATCATAGGTAGACAACAAACATTCTAGCTTGGATTTATGCTGATGATATACAGTACGGTAGCAAAGATTAAGTAGAGACAATTGTACACTGCTGAATGGCTAAGAGATAGTGAGCTGGGTAAGCATAGAGTAACACATGGATGCAGATTATAGGAGGGAAGGAATGATTGCACTGAGGAAACTGAAGCCAAAATAATGGAGGAAGACATTAGTGCTCATGAGATCATCATTTTAATTTGTAAAATAAAATTGAGGATTCTAGCTGCATGACTTATTGAGGAGGTATATATATATAGGGGAAGACTGTGTGCACGTGTCATGCAAATTTCAGACAACACACAGTTTTGGACAAAAGTAAAGCGACATGGTAGCAATGATGGGTAGGGGAATTGCTGAGCAAGGGTGGAGGAAGGGTCCTTGGACTCCTGAAGAGGATAAGTTGCTTAGTGAATATGTGAGCCTGAACGGTGAGGGAAGGTGGAGTTCTGTTTCTAGGTGCTCAGGTAAGCTCTCTTTCTAGCTAGGCTTGATGTTTGGCAAAGGTAATAACAGCAAATTAAAGGGAGAGAGATAAAAACAAGAAAGCTACTAGCTATTAGTAAATTAATTATATACATAAACTCTTAATTTTTGGGTGGGAGAGGCAAAATTTAGAGTTTATCATTCATTGGTAGGTACTGATCATGCTTTCAGCTTTTGATATTATAAATCTACGCACGTTTACTTGTTTTGGTGCTTAACTTTTAACTTATTATTGGTTTTACCAGGCTTGAATAGGAGTGGAAAGAGCTGCAGACTGAGGTGGGTGAATTACCTTAGGCCAGGACTTAAGAGAGGCCAAATAACACCACAAGAGGAAGGAATCATTATTGAACTACATGCTCTCTGGGGCAACAAGTAATGCATTTGATCCCTCCCTTTATAAAATCTTTCTGTCTTGGTTTCGTTTTTTTTTTTTTTTTCCTGTCTGTTTTCATTTCTCTATAAACTATTATTAATAGTTCATACATATCCAGGTGGTCAACTATCGCTAGATACTTGCCTGGCAGAACAGATAATGAGATAAAAAACTATTGGAGAACCCATTTCAAGAAGAAAGATAAATCCTCTCAGAAACAAGAAAAGCGAGAAGCTCTGATTCTAAAACAGGAAGTGCAGCAGCAGCAGCAGCAGCTTGAAGCTGGTGAAATGAAAATGGTCAACACCATTGATCATTTTAAGATGCATGAAGCACAAGAAATGTATTTCATGTACCACAATTTGGAGGATCAATGCTCGCCTGTGATGACTGAAGACGCCGCATCTTGGGCAGACTTTGTTGTGGAGGATTATTATGGACTATGGGGTGGCTTGTGGAACTTAGATGATCATCCACCAGGTTAAATTACTCATACAAGTAACTGAAATAAGATATCCATGCAAAATCAAGTAACAACTTGTTCTTTTGGACAGGACTCAAAGAATATTTACAGTGGAGGGTACAGTTTCTAATAATGGTTAGAAAATGTTGATGGTGACATATTTTTGTGTAATACTTGTGTCTAACTTGCCTAGAGCATGTTGAAACCTTATTTTTATGAGAGTAATATAAATGGTGATGAACTTTTAAAAAACGATTGCAGGTTGGATTTATCTGTAACAATTATATAAATGTTGTTGTTTACTGATTTTTTTTGCTTCGTAAGTCTTTCAACTACAATTTTTGTCTCCCTAAAATTTAGTGGGGGGGAATGAGAATGTCCTCCCTCCAATATTGTTTGCTTTTAATTGATTCTAGTTCTAGAAAATCTACCCTCTCACATCAATTTCTGTTCTAGATACTGGTATACAACGATGTTGCAGATACAATGCATCGGATCAAATTCACATATATATATATATATATACACTAACATGTCCGGACTAGGTTGCGAAATTGTATATTAATTATACTTCTAGAAGAGAAAAATAAGAGTGGGAAGGTGATTGTTTCTAGGATTCCATGAGAGTTACAATTCTAGGCTAAAAACATTGCAAAATTGCACTACTTTTCCCCACAGGGATCTCCAGTAAAATAGGAGCAAACCCTTCAATACTAACCTGGTTGACAATTAACATTATCATTCAAACGTTGTTTCTACAGGAGGCAATAAGAAAACCATTTGTGTATGCAAGATATGGAGGATTATACTATTAACACATAATCCGATGAGGAATGTCTAGTTTTAATGCCTAAATTATATCTGGCAGTTGATATTTTCTTTATTTTACTTGTTATTTTGATATTCCTTTCCTAATTACGTTTGGGATATTAAATTAATTTAGGTTTTATTAATTAGGTTGGTTTAGCTGCCTATTTAAAACAGTTTTATATGCTATTTAGTGGCAATTATTGACTTCATATTTTATTGAATCATAATTCTCTCTGTAGATTTTTTTTCTTTCATGACTTCATATTTTATTGAATCATAATTCAATAATTCTCTCTGTAGATTTTTTTTCTTTTACTATAGGCTATGTTATTTGATATTCTTTACAAGCTTACTAAAAAAACCTTAAAGAAAGAAACTTTTCAAAGTAGGTTGTTCTATTCCATGCATGAAGACATTGACAATTTCATATGTAAACCCTCAATTCAAAATCACAAAATTGTAAATCAATGTTAAATAAAAAAGTCTCCCAACTTAAAATTAAAATGGGAGAAATTTTTATAATTAGAGGTGAAATTTTTTAATAATATTAGCTAAATCTTGGATAAAATAAAATAATAAAATTTATACTAGTGATAAATCATGTAAGCTTCTCGATCAGATAAAAGAATTATTTTAAATTTTTTTTTATAAATTTAAAATAAAAGCATTTAGAAAAATAAAATGGAGTCCCAAATAAATTAATATATAATTTTACACATGAATAACAATAATAACCGTATATGTCTCATGTACACACAAATTTTTTAATTAAAATGAGACAAATCCCAAGGAATATTGCTATCATAAATAAGTATGACTGATTGACTGGTTCAACAATACCAATTCTTAATTTTATTAGGGATTTAGACCGGTAATGTACTAATCTTTGCCCATTAAAGGCTAAGCATACTAACACGATATTTAATGTGATTCGGTAAATTGCCTACATTCAAGAGAAAGTTTCTTACTATTAGAGATAGAGAAAAGATAGAATATAAATATATGGAGGAGGAGAATCACTTCACTCAACTCTACTCCTACTACTCTCATACATAGTTGCACATTGCAGCAAGACTGTTGCTATTGACAACCCCTTTTTCTCTCTTTGCTTTGCTTTCTCTCACTTTGCTCTCCAAAATTATGTTTCTTTTATAAGCTAGAATGAGAAGACAAGATCCACAAATCATGGCATGATTGGTGAGACAAAAGCCCTGAGACATGGTATGAATGGTGGCACTAATTAAGCTTCCACTAAGTGGAAGTGGGGTCTTGCCATATTAATGGTAATTTCCTAACAATCACCTCCTTTTCCATTTGTGTAGGTAATTGTCCCATTGCTTCTTCAGCACAATCTTTCTCTTTTCTTCTCTCTTTGCTTTGCTTTCTCTCACTTTACTCTCCAAAATTATGCCTCTTTTATAGGCTAGAATAGTAAGACAAGATCCACAAATCATGCCATGATTGATGGGATAAAAGCCATGAGATATGGCATGAATGGTGGCACTAATTAAGCTTCCACTAAGTAGAAATGGGGTTTGGCCAAATTAATGGTAATTTTCTAACAATCACCTTTTTTTCTATTTGTATAGGCAATTATCCTCTTGTTTCTTCAGCACAAGCTTGCATCCTGCAGCTCTTCCAAGTTTACCATTCCGAGAGTGTCTCCAACAAAGTTTACAGGTATTCGCTAAACCTTTCAATCATCAAAGTCACCAAAGCACGCCCTTGCTCACACCAAAGGATCACTTCAACCAAATGGTCTCCTACATCACATTTGAAGAGTTTTAATGCTTGTCTCTGGGACACAATATTCCCCTTCAAGCATATCAACCATACTCGGTCTAAAATGATTTTTTAAGCCTCACACCAAGGCTTACAACACCTCTTCAAACGGATATTCTCAAGTACAACAGTCATTATTTGAGTATTTTAATATGATCACGAGCTCACCACTTTTTTAAAAGTCTACTCATCCTAGAGTTGCGTCTGTCCTCTCTTCCACCCTATGATCCATGCATTACTTCTCCGTGAGTCTCTCACTTTTAGTCTTAAGAGTCCAGGTAGCTCTCCACCTTTAACCATGGGGCAGCCTATTAATGGTTGATCCATATCTGTCTCCATACTCTAAGTATTATAATGTCATTACCGAACTCACCACCTTGACAAGAGTCAACTTATTCCAGGAACCTATGCATGCCATCTGTTCATTCCTAATAGTAGCATCTTAATGCTCCACAAGTCATCTACTTATTGTTCAAGGCAAATGTCTTCTAGCTCATCGATCTTTAGTATGGGTGCAATATCCATAAAAGTCAATAATGCATTTATCTTTATACTCATCATCGTCACTTCATTGGCTATACACCTGTCCACTCATATCCAACCATCACGTCGGCTCTAGGGCATTATGAACTAGGACTCCTATCACGGCCCTCACACCTTCTTATAAAGTCTCTCTGCTCATCATCATGCTATAGTCTGATCTTAGGCTCATCTCATAGCCCTTACACCTTCTCAGTCTAATCTTGGACTCATATCATGGCCCTCACACCTTTTGTATGAGGTGTCTCTACTCGTCATGAAACGGTCTCATCCTCCTTCATCGGGGATGACTCTAGAGGTTCTAAGGTTCTCTACCACCATATGGACTTGGGAGAGATCACTGCCACTAATCATATAGAAAAAGAGAGTTGTGGTGCACTCTTCGCAATCTTTTATCTCATTTTCTATGTTTGGAGCTTCTATGTCTTTCTATTTGATAGCTCCACCCACACTAACTCTCTTTTAGTGTCTTTACCTTTCATCATAGGCGGTCGCACCCCTTTAATTTGGTGCTTCCACAATAGCTCCCTTTCTATCCTTGCATGTATTGGAAAGGTTTTTGCCTGTTGTCTTTATCAAGAGCATAAGAGACTTTCTGTTATACAATTTTTCACATAATCTCTACTCTAAGCTTCATCTGGGAACTCTTATTCTCCTTACATATATTGTCTCATTAGAGTACGTCATTGGATCTTATAAGTACTCTTGCACAATCTCCGTATACTCTTGTGTAATTTTGGTTCTCTAGATTTCTCCTTATTATTTGTTTATGTTTGACAATAGCTCATCCTATCACAACATTTGTTCAAGTCAAAATAGGATGTCAATCTTTATCCCCTTGCTGTATTTCTCTTCCATTATCAAGGTCTTCATTAATTCTTCTCTTGGGAAATCATAGTCACTGAATCTAACTTCTTTGGAGAAATCATCACTCCATCATATCCTTGAACATACAGAACCCAACTATTCCTTTGTGTCATCATCCTGTTATTCTTCAACAGTTTCGTTACAAACTGTTACATATATTAAAATAGTACCGCATAGATAATCCTTCAACTAAGCAAGTTCCCAAGAAAGATTGGAGGGGTCACACCAGTCTCGCTTAAAACTCAATCTCCTAGACAGAACTTCTTAGGCCATATCTATTCATTATACTGTCTTTATATATATACAACCATTTGCTAGCTTTGTTGCGGCTTTCTTTTGCAAGTGATCTAGGGTATTTTGGTGTCATACCTAATTTCTCAACATTTGGCAAGGCTACTAGTTCTTAGATTCGTCAAGATTGGTCTTCATCAATTTTCACTCTCCACCTTAAATCATCCACATGATCAGGTGTCCAAAGTGTCCCAATTTTGCCTTCCCTCAAGGTAATTAAAATTTCATCACTTAGCAGCTCAGCACATGTAATTGGGTAAACATGTGTGATTTCTTCTTCATCATCTCTATCGACCACCATGATCACCATCAGATCAGACAATCTCTCTTTAATAATTCACCACCACTACTTTTGGTTTAAACCTCAACAATCGAAACCTACCATTACATCTAAAATGATCAAATTAGCTGGAAACAAATCTGAAATCATCCAAATCACATTTCAGATAGCTAAGATTTGATCAAAATAATTATGGCTTGATAAGTAGCCCATATTCAATCTTAGATCCGGTTGCATATAAGATCAGCTTCACGAGATCCTTTCCCTCGGCTCGCAGCTCAACTAGGCTCCACTCAGCTCAGCTCAACTCAGCTTACGGTTGATGACATGGCAGGTAGGTCCCATCGTACTGATGTGTCAGCTAACTACGCGCTGACATGGCATGCCAATTATACATGCTAATGTCATGATGACATCATCATCATCTGGGTCAGCCACATGGGTCGGGTCATCTAGTATTCAAGTTAGGTCAGCCCATCTATGCGAAGAAGATGCGTGGGGCACCTCGGCGTACATGGGCAGCAACCTCGTCGGTGCATAGGGGCACATATGGCCATGTTCGACATCCAATTTTGATGTTGTTTTCACTAGTGTGATCGTCTCTTTCTCCTTTACACAACAGTATGTCAAAACATAATTTTGACAACTTTTATTTTTGAGCAAAATCAAACACTATTTTAAACCATGTGCTCTGATACCAATTGTTGGGGATTCCGACCGGTGATGTACTGATCTTTGCCCATTAGAGGCTAAGCACATTGACACAATATTTAACGTAGTTTGGCAAATCATCTACATCCACGGGAGAGTTCCATATTATCAGAGATAGATAAAAGATATAATACAAATACATGGAGGAGGAGGATCACTTCACTCAACTCTACTCTCACTGCTCTCACACACAGCTGCACATTACAATAGGACTTTTGCCCTTAGCAGCCCCTCTTTCTCTCTTTCTCTTTCTCTGCTTTGCTCTCTCTCACTTTGCTCTCCAAAATTATACCGTGTTTATATGCTAAAATGGTAAGACAAGATCCACAAATCATGGCATGATTGGTGAAACAAAAGCCACGAGACATGGCATGAATGATGGCACTAATAGTAGTACTAATTAAGCTTTCACTAAGTGGAAATGGGGTCTTGCCATATTAATGGCAATTTCCTAACAAATTTCAGTTGCTGAAGTTCAGTAGCTTGCTTCTTTATCCAACCTAGATTTCTTGTCAAATTGTCACTAATTCTTACATAAATAGAAAGGTGCACTGGAGCAATAGGGCCTGCTTCTCTTTCATTGCTCTACTACATCTACTAGTGAAGTATTTCGCCAAGGTAAGTTTCAGTTGCATGAAAGCAACCTCTTCCTCGAGCCTAAAGAGACTGGAAGCTTGTTGGTCTTCAAGCTCGGCTCTTGTCCACTGGAGGGATACAACAGTCTTTGACCTCAAGAGTTTGCCTTGTTTGCAAACCCGCTTCAACTCTTTCCAAAACAAATAAGAAAATAGCCAACATGAGCTAACTGATTAGCAGCAGCTTGATCCTATGCTGTCTGCTTCATTTTAAGTCTGTGTCTCAATGCAACTGGCACAAAGTATATGCGGAGGAACTATTTGCCTTTAAGGTCAAGCAAATGGCTTCTTAGCCTAGCCTAGCTTAGCTCTGCTAGCGTAAGATTATAAGAAGAAGCATGTTTAAATGTTGAGAGCGACCACTAAATTATATAAGATGCAACATGAGTTGTCTTTTAGATTACAACTAAGAGTAAATAATTGCAGATTGAGATAATATGTCATGTTTATGTGTTAGGTGACTGAACAACTACCTTTTATTCTGTACAAAATAATAAATTGTTTGATTTGCCACCAAGCTCTTATCTCTCTCAATCCCACATGCTAATAAGTCCCAACCAATCTTGAAAACTGCATATACACAAAAGTACTGAGATTTTATACTTGTATAATTGTTTTCTGTTCGATATTTGGTACAAAAGAATGTGATAAACAAAAATTGGCAACTCAGTCTAGATCAACTATAATGTTTTTGTTCATCTGTTCCATTTGACATACTGGAAAGAAAACAACAACGCAAAAAAGAAAAAAAAAAAGAAAAAAAGAAGAAGAAGAAGCAGAACAAGATCAACTACAGTATCAAAATTTCATAGTAAATTGGCCTGTGAACTTCAGATTCTCAACAATGAAGCCTCTGCAGTTCATAGATGAAATGGTATGGCAAAGAAACAAACCAGATGAGTGTGGTTGAGACTTACAAGCGACAATAGCAAATAGAATCTACCTCTGTATGAACTATCCTTGAACCAGAAATGAAACCCACCATCCTGTATCTACATTCTGAAACTCTTGAGAAGGAAATTCCAGCTTCATGCTCATCTTAGTTGGCTATATGAGCCACAAGCGGATCATGATTGTGGGAATTTGTAGGCCACCATGACTCACACCGGACATCATTACTGGCCTCTGCAGCAACTGTGTAAGGGACATTGCTATTGAGAGCATCACAGATACCGGAAACCTCTTGTTTCATGCAGTATCCTGTTCTTCTCTGGCTCTAAGAAAATGAGCCCTTTTGTGACCTCCCAAAGCTTGGCCAGATAGAAAAACTTTAAAGCAGATTGAGCATTTGTGCTCCTTACCCTCCTTTGACTCGCAATGTTTTACAATAACATCATCACTTTCCTGCTTTGCTAATTCCTGAATACATTCAAGTTTGTCTGTAGCCTCAGTTTCAGCAGAAAAATTAGTCTGGATATCCTTTTCGCAGCTATCAACCTTCACCTCTATGGGACTCTTCCTATGGAATGTTTGGTGACCCCCAAGTGACTGATGAGTGTTGAATTTCCTGTTGCAGATTCTGCACGTGAAATCACCTTTCTTGCTAGGACCTTGCATGATATCAGAACTTGAAGTGGTTACTACCATCTGATACCGAGATTCCTTTCCCATTTCAGAATTACAAGCATCAAACCTTGCTTGATTACTTGGAATAGATTTCTCAAATCCCAAACCAGCACAATCCAATCCAACTTCACTCATCAGATCCTGACTTGATTCAGCTTCAGTGCAAGTGGTAAGCATTTCGTCATGATCTCCCTTCTCTTTATCAATTCCACAAAATTCAACTCCAGATTCATCATCCAATTGAGGGCTCTTGGATTCAATATACTTGAAAATACTCTCTCTCGGAACTTTCGATCTAACTTGATTTTCCTCATCACGCCCCGTCTCAGTATCACCTTCACCACTACATCCATATATACTAGTCATAGAATCCAAATCACAGGAGTCTAAATTATCCTCTCTGGGTTTCTTTGGCTTGACTAGTTCATTACCATAAAAAACATGGCAATCCTCATCTCTCTCAATTCGCTTATTTCGACACAATGAATCAAACCCAACACATCCACTCCTAGACATCATAATCAAAGTAAGAGCCGCCTCTTCAACTTCTTGGTCAATATCAAAACCAGAAAAAGATTCATTCAAGCTAGAAAAAGAAGAATTAGGAGTAATCTTGTACCTCATTCTACTAGATCGCTTTCTTCTCACAAGATTCACATCCTCCGTAGCAGATAAAGCCATAGAAACCAGATTAGGCCTAGAACTAGCCCTTGGTTCACTTGAGATCCTAAAATTCTCACGATGCAGTCTCTTGTGATTACTTAAAGATTTTAACGACAGAAACCCTCTTCCACATTCTTCGCAGTAAACTCCATTTCTTTCTTTAGCAGGGTGATGCCTCATGTGACCATGAAGGGATTTTTCTGAACCAAATTCTTTGCCACAAAATCTACATTTCACTGTTTCTTGCATTGAAACACTATCATCGTGATTGAAGTCTGAGGATTTGCAAGATTTCTTGGGCTGTTCTCTTAGGCCACAACTATCAGGACCCACGTTGCTGCTTTCGAACTTGACATTTCCTTCAATAGATTTTCTAGTTCCATGAATCCTCATGTGACCACCCAACATATTCCCAGTCAAGAAACTCTTGTTGCATAACTTGCACACATGCATCTTTTCTTGATTCTTCTTCGTTTGTTCAAACAAAAGAAACTCTAGATCAGAAACCAAGCAAAACCTCAACTTTCTCAAGAAAATGGTAAAAGATGGTTCTTTGACTATCCAGGAAAACTAACACACCAGAAAGTTGAAGAAAACAAAGGAGCCAATGAAAACCCAGATCAAAAGGAACCTAAATTTGAGCCAAGTTTTGTAAATTCTTGGTCTTTTGAAAGGGAAAAAGAGGAGACCATGTGGGTTCTTGTGATGTAATCAAGCTAAGTAAAAAACCCTATACAAAGAGTGATCCCCGGCCCCTGTTCAATTGCTCTGCCTCTCTTATAGCGTACTGCTTTGTTTGCAAGTAAATGCAATGCAAGAGACATATGAAGTGAAAGTGATAGGTTTCGTGAATCTGCTTTGCAGGCCAGACCCCCCCCCCCTCCCCTCCTCTCCTCTCTAGTGATGGGTTTTGTACTCGCTTGCAGTTGATCAAGTACAATTTTGGCCACGAAATGATTTGGCATTTGAGTATGTGATTGCTTGTGATTAAAGTAATTTGTTAGAGCTACCTTAAGCTAGGTTCCTTTTGAATCCATATTATGTTATTATTAGTAGTATTGATTATTTGATTTATTATTCCTCTTGCCATCTCTCTATTTTTGGATGGAACTCCCTTAAGTATCTGTAATAAGTGGATTCACCTGGATCAATCTAAATTTTTATTAAAAAATAGAAAAAACACTAGTTTTTGCGCGGAACTGGCTAAACCCTGGGTTAGTCCTGTGAATGGTGAAGCATGGCCTGGTCTTATAAATAAAGATATATCATGAAACAACATACTCAACCTTTCTTGGTGGCGGTGTCTTGCTCTGCAAAATTCTCCACTCCAATATTGAGCTTTCTTTCCCAACTTGGAAGGCGGATTAAGCTATTAATCAAATGATTTGTGTGCGAGTGTGTGTGTATCCTCTCTTGTCTTATTTTTAATGTAATTTACAAAAAAAAAAAAAAGTTTGGCAACAATTGATATGGAAAACATTAACTATGGAGATCTGGAGCTTATGAAGTGGCCATTGAAATCAATTTAAGCACGAATGATTATAAAAGAAAAACTATGTTAACAGGCTGGCCAACATAGATCAGATCCAAAAGTTGGGTTATTCTTTATGCATGAACCGAAGTCTTAATCTCTTGGTATAATAAGCATGGCCCAGATTATTTGAATTCACCATGCAATTTTTTTTATAAAAAAAAAAAAAAAACACGTATTGGATTAAAACAGTAAAATGATATTTGTTCTTCTAAGAAAAATGATTGAACTTTTTATTACAGGTAATGCGGTGTTTTTATCTGGACTCACTGGTAATTGTTGGATTGACAAAAAAATATATGATCTTTTAATATTTTTAAATATAGTAAAATGATTAAATTACCTCTAAAAAAAATGAATTGACATCCAAGGACTTTTTCTTATTTATATCTTGGTTCTTTAATTATAATCAAGTTGAATAAAAAAAATTAGTATTTTAATAAATATAAAATATTATTTAAAAAACAAAATTAGGTGCACGTATTGGACACACATGCACTCTTTAAGCAGCATGTAGGGGGGTGTAGTTCCCAAATGGTTGCTTTTTGAATGACATTCGAATTATCTCAAGTCTTAATTGTCCCTCCATCCTTGATCAGCACATCTCCATCCTTGATCAGCACATATGATCAATAGAACTCTAATTTAGTGGCAACGGGCCACTCTTCTTTTTTGTTTCTTTTTGTTCTCTTCCTTAATTGTCGAGCATGACATTCTAAATTTTCAAACCAGCACTTTTATTTTATTTATTTTATATTTAATTCTTTTTATTTTAATTATTATTTTTATTTGAAATAATCTATAAAATTGAAATTCTTTTCAATTTCATCCTTATTAAAAATTTTTATTTATCAGATTTGATCCCCATTTTTTTATTGCTAATTATTTTATTTGAGATAATTTTTTAAATTAAATTTTTTTACAATTTCATTATTCTTTAGTTTTTTTCCTATTAGATTTGACTATTATTATTTTTATTACAATTTTCTTTTACTTTACCAAATTTTTTAAATTGATATTTTTTATTTATTTTCATCTTGTAACATTAAATTGATAAGAGTTGAAGTTCTTAATTGAACCTGAGTCTAGAACTTTAAATGTTGCAAGTTTGAGTGATTAACTTAAATTTATGAGATTTTTCTAGTTTTGCTAAGCAAGTTTTTTAAATTGATTTTTTTTTAATTTTATCCTTCAACATTAAATTTAATGAGAATTGAGTTTCTTGATTGAGTTTGTATATAGAATTTCATGGATTGCAAGTTTTGAAGATTAAATCAAGTTTAGGAGATTTGTCTAAATTTTCTTGGGTTGTTTTTTTTTTAACTTGTGATTTTTTAGCATTTATTTAATAGGAGATTGGGCTTCATTTTTTATTTTTTATTTTTTTTGCTTCATATAGGATTTTTCACTAATCTTAAAAATTACACGGGTTATTTCGAATCTTTTTTTTTCATTCTTTGTTAAACTTAGATTTTTTAAAGAAGTTTTGTTTTTGATTCAAAATAAATTAATTGATTAAATATAAACATGAAATATTTACTTTATAATAGTTTGTTTAGTTTTCTTTTTAAATTGTTACTATGGCAATATATGCAATATCTTTCAATGTCAACAAGATACTATATAAGTAGGGGTGATATAAAAAGCTTATTTTATATTAGTGAAGGGTGTATGTGATATATAAAATTCATTCAATTAGTTTTCCCTAGTTGAAGTCAAATTGTAAAGTTGTTTTAGCCCTAAAATA